CGCGCAGGACTTGATGGAATTGCAAAAGTGCAAAAATGACGAAAAAAGATTTGATATTTTTGCAAAACATTTTTTGGCTCAAAGCTCACTGCTNTCTCTCGCAAATTTGAGAACACTATATATAACAGTATATAAAAACTTACTGATTCTTCAGAAATATGATTCTTCTGTATCACGTAGCCTTAAACTGCCTGTAACTTTGCTGAAACCTACTTTTCCTTCCGCGCCCGAAGCCGAAGAAGATTACGGTTTGCACAAGGTATTTAGCGACGTTTATCTAAATTTGCATTTATAATATGAGAAAAATGTTAAAATTATCAAAGTTCTTAAATACAATTATATTTTTTAGATAACCTCTAACGTAAAGATACATTANATCGAGGGAAATCACGTGACAGTTTTGAAAAACCNCGAAGTTATTACCGTAATAAATGGAGAAATCTAATGTACTCTCTCTATTTTTTTACTCTTTTCTGTGGAGAGNGAATGATCAAAACGCAGACAAAGATAAATGCTTTCACTCGCGCGCGTGTCTCTATCCTATTTAAAAACATAAACCNTGTTTAGGAANAANGATTATAGGATTTATACTAGTTTGAGCCATGCGTACAAATTTTTTCAAAAGTCGCGNNATTTGATACAATACGTAGCTCATTCTTACAAGGACAATAATGATCGATATTGTTGTCATCACGAGAAGTGTCCTAGATACAAGAAGATCGAGAACCACAGAGACATATATAAGTTTCACATTTAGACTTATCATTTNAGATAATATTGTCAATCAAAAAAATCAGATTTTGCAAACTACGCTTGATTTCGATATATTATTTTTGACTTCAAATAACACGCATAAGTACTTGTGATATTTTTTATAAGGTATTTTCATTCAAGCATAGATACACAGTTCAAAGCTGGGCACAAAAAAGGTTCAAAACTCATAGTAATTGGAACAAGGTTTTATAAAAGTTATGAGATAAACCATAATTATAAGTACACATGTTTGCTATGTATAAAATGTTGCTATGTAGAGTATAAAAAATAAAAGTATAAAATTATATTATATTATTGTACAAACCTGGTAAAATANATTAAATAGTACAAGTAAATTTGTGGAAAATAAATTTTTTTGTAGAACGACAAACAATTGTAGAGGTTATTTTTAGTTTATTTTAATCTAACATAATACATTTTTAGTTTATTTTAATATAAGTATTTTTTTAGTTTATTTTAATCTAACATAATACATGATATAGACGTTGTTTGTAATATCCTTCCTGATGCGTCAGGTACATTTAACAGATACGGAGTTTGTTATCGCGGATTCTCTTTAAGAGGAAGTTAACTTCCTCTTTTAATGCCAGTTTTCAACCGTTACTGTATAAGAATAGTCTGCTCGATTTCTTTTACCAAGTTTTAACGAGATAAAGTGTTGTACAAAATTTAGAAATTGTTTTTATTGTCTTTGAGTTTGTGTTGTATTATTATTAAAATACAAGTTGTTATGTGAAAGATAGTGATTTATTAGTGTTTTATTTACATATATATCCAATATTCTTAAAAACTTAATGAGAAAATTGTGAAATAAATTAATTATAACTATTTTCGTTTATATATTTATTTTTCATTTTTGTTCTAATCTAACGCTTATGAAGATTGCCTGTGGGACATATTTGTTAAGAATGCAGATACTTNTAAGATATTTTTTCTTCGTCAGTCAAACGTTACACATTTGTGGAAAAGTAGTTTTGTTACGTGGATCACCATACGCGCAAAACTCAAAATCAAGTTTGAGAGACTTGATATGTCTTTCTGAAGACGACGGCGGCGCTCTAGTATGGAATGACATCTTTACACCAAACTCTGTTTATAAAAATAAACGTAAGTTCCGAAACTAGAAAAATTTATATGCATAATGTTGTTTTTTATATGCATAAAACGTATATTTTTTGTCTTCTTATATTATCTAGTAATAACTATGTATAAGAATGCAGAGCGTTTGTATCATTGCTGGCGTATAAAAGTACACTAAGTCGGTAAAAATATANAAAATCATAAAATTTATTNTGTCCGTTTCGAATTTGTGTTTCACTCGTAATAACTTTGTATCTGCGCCGTGTTAGATAACGCTATTTTTATCGTCACTTTTGCGAATATACGCATATTGTACTCTCGCACATTTTTGCAGAGTTTCACAACATAAATATGTTCATCGATAACGAGATAAACTGCAAAATGAACAAAGATACAGATTGCTTAAAATCTTGGAGTCGATTAAATTGGACTCTTACAAATTCTGTGGAAACACCTATGGGTCCAGTGTTTGACCAACGATGGGAANGTAAATACTTTGCAGTTTGTAAACAAATTTAGTTGTACACGTATAAAATATATTATTTGTTAAAAGTATTCAATGAAAATAAATCCTTATATGTTTATCAAATGGTAATCTTATAATATTGTTTTAAATACTATGTTTTTACACTTTTCAGAATTTACAGAATATTCAAACTTTGGAAAATCATTTGACCACGTNAAGTTGAAAGGACAAATATCATCTAAAGGAGCGCTCTCATTTTCAACTCGCGCACCTGATAATGTGCATATTTTGTTTTGCAACACACAAACTTTTNANNAATCTTCTTGTTTTTGGGTAATAATAGGCGGTTGGGNAAATANGAAATCCGCTATAAGAAGATGCACANNTGGTGTGTCTAACATATCTCCTAAANAANCACCCCCATATATAGGCTGTGAGATATTGCAANATAGTTTAGANGTAAGACATCTATAAATGTACTTTTTCTGTTTACACAATTTTTTATCATGTTTTTTTTNCTCGCATATATTTCTAAGTCATATATCTTCTAAAAGAATCATTTATTTTAAATTTGCTCAATGTGTGTGCATTGACTATGAGAGAAACATATACTGTATAGTATTAAACTTTAGGATAGCTCACACACATAAATAAAGAATTATAAAAATATTTACAATTATTTTAGCACATACCATTGTCTGAAACGGAATGGCGGACGTTTGTCATTACGTGGAACTTCACAAAAAACAGTCATAATATTACTGCTTTCGATACTGATAAAAAAATTGTTACATATGAAGAAAACAAATATACAGGAAAGTTTAAAAACTCAAGTTTTAACTTTATCTTTATCAAAACTAGATCACACATGTTGCTTCGATTTCATGAATGTAGGTATATGTATATATATATATATATATATATATATATTCTAAACAAAATTTCTAAGTAATGTGTATCAAAGAGAGAAAATGAGCAATATAATAGATGAAGAAACATGAGATTGATTAAGGAACTATCACGTTCTATTATACGTTCACATAAAAACGTGTGCGTTCTATTTCAGATGATTTTCTGTACACTTCTACCGAGAGTGCAACTTTAACAAGTCCTACCTTTCATCTTCTTAATTCCACACTTTGTATACAAATGATCATTGGTCTGTGCACAGAATGCGATGCACATGTCGTGATACTTAATTCCTCTAATTTTGAAGTAATAAAAAATGTAACAGTGAAAGGATCATTGACAGCTGTTCATAATTTACCTATGTGGCATTTTATCACACTTAATAAAACTTTATCAACAGACAATTATCGTGAAGTAAAAATTCAAGTAATTCCTAAACTTCAAGCGCATAGCTACAATCCGTTATGGGCAATAGCAGATGTTCGTGAATGTTCCAAGAGAGGTGTGAATATCTCATACTTAGAGTATCTTATTGCATATCTAATATGATAAAAATACACTATGTGTTTATATACACATAAAAGATTTATAAAAAATCTACCAAACCAATTGTTAACTTCTTTGTAATTATCTTTTTTTTTATGTTTATATAGAATCTTTAAGACAAGCAACGATTTTCACTACAGGAAATGCTTCTTTTGGACAGACGTTAACTTATTCTAATTCTTATTATTGGCCAAATGTAACATGCCAAAAACTATTTTATAACGAACATACTGTAGTAAGTTCTGTACCAGAAGCAACAACCAACATAGATCTGGGTGATTACTTAATGGTTAATTATATTGCAAATGTGAAATCTCACGTTCTTTAAATCTATGTATTATGATTCTTTCTAAAAACATATTATTGCATAATTTTAGGTGTCCATTTGCTAAATATGATATAGACTTATTTTAATATGTACTTTTTCTTCTCTCAGATGATAAAGATTGTCCGATAGGAAAAATAGGGCCGAAATGTTTATTTTCTTGCGCACACGATTTGAAAAGTTACGATAACTGTAAAGAAACTGCGATCTGTTATACAAATGGTTGCACATGTTCTCCAGGTTTTCAGGATACGGAATGTTCTTCACGTAAGTATTCTTTAATTACAATTTTCACAATTACAGTTTAAATTTTATCACTACGTCTATATACGATCTGTAAATACATGTCACAATATACTTAAAGTGTGTAAGAACTACTTGTACGGTCATAATTGCAAGAATAAGTGTGGCTCCTGCAAAAATTTTAATTGCGATAAAATTACTGGCGAATGTATCAACGGATGCGTCAAAACCTCAAACAAGATTTACATACCACCTCTATGTCAGATAGGTATAATAACTTTTAATGATATATAACATTATTGTAACTATAATTGTCAGATGATTTCTCTTATTGATAGATGTTATTAGATAAACGGAAACTGTACTGATGTTTAAGGCATAGACAAGCTTGAAGCACCTTCAATTGTCTCTACCGCTACAAGTATCCAAGCCAAAGTTCGTACGATTTGGACACAGGAATATAAAAATTTGTCACTACTGTATTTGTTTACACTTGGAGTAAGTATAAGTAAAATGAGTACAAGTTTACTTATTTTTTCTAAAATTATTCAAAAGAAATTGAAATATCTTTACTAATAATTCATTTAATACCTGAACTTGTCACACTTATCTACTACTTAAGATACAACTTTTTACGCGCTCGTAATATACAAATAAAAATCAAGTAATATTTTAATACATTCTTTACAGGGATTAGACCCAATTACTCAAATATTCAATTACTCCATTACGCTGCCATGGAATAAACTGTTTCCGAACATGACGCACATGACAGGGTATTTCAAAGATTTAAAACCTGCTTCTGTTTACTGGGTGAAATGCATCTTAAGTGTTGAAGGAAGTCTGATTGAGAGTGAGTGGCAAAATGTGGAAACTGCTTGCGACTGTAAGTGTCAATATTTATTGTTAATTATAGTCTTCTCTAATTATATAATTTCTCTATTTTCTGTCTGCAATGATATAGTAGCGACAAAGTTTGTCGTAACACCTGCAGAAAACAGCATAACGATTAATGTGCAAAACAACTCAGATGTACGTACATATTTTCTGTTTAGTTTTTATAATATATAATGCAGATAATTTTACTATGATTATATTATATGTACATATTGTGTAAAAACTCTTGGTGTCTTGTTATGCTAGCCATTCTATCCGTGTCCACCAAATTGGTACTCACTACAACTTCAATATACAAATAGTCGTTTGATTTTCACTGAACAAATGACAAAATTTTCTCGTGAATTGTCAGGATTAAACCCATATACTTGGTATGACGTGATAATACATCATGCAAAATATAACAATAACAGCTTGCTGTATTTCGAGACAGTATGTACATTAGAAGGCGGTAAGTTTGTAATTATACGATATAAAGCATGCAGTGAGAAAATTTCCAATATGTGTATGCAAACACATATTTAAGCATCTGTGTTTTATAAATATCACTAGTTCCAACTGAAGTATTAGATTTTTTTTACTTGAAAAAGTCAAATACATCTGTCAATCTGACGTGGAGATCTCCAGATCAACCAAATGGAAAAATTTTGCAGTATGAAGTAACGTTGAAGGTAAACAACTAGCTTACACGTAGTTCTTATTATAACATTACGATTTTCATCCACAACTAATCGATGTGACAAAATAATTTTTTATTGTAATCAACTTTTTTATTGTATAAATGTTTTCTATTAATTCTAGATTAATGAGTACTGCGGTTGTACAAACGAAAACTTAACTATGCCAGATAATCCAATCTCCATTAAAAAATTTACTAACGAAACAAGCATCACAATCTTAGATTTACATCCATATACGTCTTATAAAGCGCAAGTAAGAGCTCGCAATTCACGACACAGCAGCAATGACACAGAAATAATGTTTTCTACAGACAAAAATGGTGCTTATCAATGACTACTGTTTTAGATAATTATTATTGATTCTAAAATATGTCAAATTAATTATATTTTT